CATATTTATGTTTTTAGCGGATACGAATTCAGATAATTCAGATTTTCAGACATCCATTTCTATCCCTACTCACAGCCCCGACGCGGTGGAGTGAGTAGCGAGGCAGATCGGACTTGGTCAGCAAGTGATCTGGGGACTTTGTGGATCTCCTCCTACTTCATGAGTATAGAGTGCTGCAAGATGTGACACTTGCAACCCCATGGGAGTGGGAGTTAGCAAGTCCACCTTTCAGTAATGGTCAGGGTATATTTGGGATACATTTTGAAGTTTCGCTCAGGCATCACAATGTCATTTTGGTTGAATATGGCATCCACAAAAGGCACCTTTTTCAGGGTTTACTCATAGTGTACCTTGAACGCGGTCTTTGTTTCCAATAATTTTGTTGCTCTGATATGAAAATTACATCAAACTCATGTCTGAAAATCCTGAAGAGGATATCAGCAGATATTTAGTATAAGGTTAGAAAGCCATGTTAGACGTCCCGGATAAAATGGTCAGTGAGGGAAGGGAAGAGCCCCCATGTGTTGAGTTTATAATAACTAGTGTACCATATACCCTTAATTACTACAGATGATGACCGTCAAAACTTCATGTTAGTATATAGTGGTAAATAATAAAGCTAACTAATATCAGAATTACACAGGTCTGCTACCTCATAAAGGCTATTCTTTCCCTATTGGTTTACTGCGCTACGCCCGGCTGTCTCATTGAGTTCCATCTCCTTCATGGCCCATCTCATCCTTTCTGCATCTTTCAACATTCCAGATTCAAAGTACATGTTTGACATCAAAACATAGAATGTGACATCATTGGAGCCTGACTGGAAGAGGTCCTTGGCAACGAATTCAGCTAGCTCCAGATTACCGTGAAGCTTACAACCCCCAAGGAATGCACCCCACACGCACTTGTCTGGGCGCAAAGACATTCCCCTGATGATTTCATATGCTTCGACAAGTCTACCAGCACGCCCTAGCATGTCAACCATGCAGGCATAGTGCTCCAGTGTAGGCGACATTTGGTAGTCAGAAAGGATGGTGTTGAAATGCTTTAGGCCCTGATCGACTGGCTGGAAAAACGGCTGATGCTGATGCTGATGCTGATTTGTTATAAGAGAAAAACACCGTTACTTCGGCTGAAACAGTCTGCGGCTGATAAGTTCAAGCAAACAGGGTTAGTCCTTCGTTAACAAGGCCCTGAGTGGCCACATGCCACTAGAACTGCAGTGAATGTGAACGAATTTGGTCTCACGCCTCCACTTTTCATCAGGAGAAGATTTTAAGAGCCTCTTCAGAATCACCATGGTTAGCATATGCACTTATCATGGCACTCCAGGACACAACACTCCGCATACGCCAACAGTCAAAGACATTCCTTGCACTTGCCGATCCTTGCATCTGCGTCAAGCCCATGATTCCGGGCAAACTCATGCACCCATTGAAAAGTCTCCAGGGCTCCTGAGCGTGCGCAAGCAGACAGAACACTGACCAAAGTCACACAATCAAACCCCACCTTCTCATTAAGCATCCTACGGAAGATTTTTTTTTTTTTTTGACAACAAACGACTTTATTATCAACAGCAAACAGCTGTTAGTAGCCTTACAGAGTTCAAGGCTACAGGTTGTAGTGCCTCTAGCAGAGTGCACTGAACATGAGCTGCGTTAGAGCAGTTACATGATAAGCCTGATGAAACAGGTGATTGCGATTCTAAGAGAGCTTGCCTAGCTAAGACATCAGCCATCTGATTGTGAGCTCTCTGTACCCTGAGAATTCTCATATCTCTTTGGCCTGTGAAATTGGAGAAGGTTTGAGTGAAGTATTTGATCCTCCACTCCGGTGGATTAGCTTGGTCGAGGCCATTTAGGAAGTGCACCAGCAGCTGATTGTCAGAGAGAAAGATGACCTGCTGCAAACCAAGACAGTTAGTGACAATTGCCGCAAGGGCCATTGCCGCAGCCTCGGCCATCAGCACTGATGTTGTGGCCGTCATAATCGCCTTGATGTAGATGGTCTGCGCCGGGTGAACCTGGGTATTGATGATGAACAGACCAATTCCTGCATTTCTTGGAGTAAGAGAGGGGAGGTCAGGTGATGTTGAGGCATCGGTGTAGCATCTGACACCCTGCAGCAAGCCTGGAAAGCGAACGAGGTATCTGTCCTCCGGTGGATCCCTGTCTGCTTGCATCAGGTGTGCAGTATTGGTGAAGCAGCAGTTCCTGCATTGTAGATTGGTGTACCTGATCGCGGCGAGCCGCTGGTGTCCTGCACTTGTTGGTCTGGTGTGTGGGAGACGGTTGTGTGACCTGCAGGGAAAGGAGCTGTACCTTGCAGAGGAGAGGAAGTTCCTGGAGCTGTGGAATTGGTGTCTACAGTTTGGGTTTGTAGGGAAGCCTGGTGGGTACTGATGTATGCCGCCACCACCGCGTGATGCACCTGCCAAGGTCCAGGACTTTCTCTGAAAACTAGTGTCGTTTCTGGCCTTCCACAAATACCACATAGTGATTAGTATCTTGCTAAGCAGATCATTAGAGGTAGAGATAATAGCCTGGAGGGTCAGTTGCACTCCATCGTGGTCCCATACATTGCGATGAGCGCATTAGCCAATGGAATGTTTGCATCAAACCCCAACCTGATCACGAACCCGTGAACCATTTCCCCGGCATACAGCCATTCTTGGCCCTGCAAGCAGGGCAGGAAACTGATCATAGTGATCTCATTCGGAAGGACACCCTCTGCAACCATCGTGCCGAACAGCGCAACTGCCTCCCCAAAGAAGTAGTTTTGCATGTAGCCAGCAACCATGGCAGTCCACGACATGACCGTCCGGGACGAGCCATGGCTCTCCGCAAAGACCAGCTCAGCGTCTGCAACCTCCCCTTCCTGGAAGTACATCGCGATGAGAGCGCTGCGCACGAACCCGTCGTGTGGAGCTGGAGCTGGACCTGTAGCCCTGAATGAAAGTCTGAAGATTCAGGCAGCCAGCCATCATCAGTGAATCCTCGTGCTGCTGCTTCTGACCGTGACCGTAGCAACCGGAGGTGATGATGCGCGGCGCTTGTCGTAAGCTGTGGCCATGCGCCGCGCCGCCCGCGCAGACGCGTCTACGCGAGTAGGAGGGCGGCCGGTGCCCATATTTATTCAATTCGGGATTAGCAACCACCTTTATCTGCTAATCACCTGCATTATTCCCCGTCAGGTAGTACAGCAGTATTAAGCTCGCCTGCATCTCCTCGCCTATCAAGGGAGGGCACATGTCGTAAGCTGTCAACAAGTCGCACGTGCGGCACCGCGTGCTGGAACTTGCGCCGCCGCCGGCCGGCCACCGCCACGATCTTGTCCTACCCGTTGCCGAATTGGTAAGCCACGGGCACGTGCACATGGTACTTACGGTAGGGTTTGTCTTAAAGTCTTCTTCCTTGCACCTCTTTTTTTTTCTCTCTTTCCCCTTTCTTCTTTCTTCTTCTATTAAAAATATAAATAGCGAGCATGAATGGGGTAGGACCAAGATTCAGGTGAAAATACATCTCGATTTTTAGTGTAATTACGGTGATTTTTTAGTGTAGTTTTTAGATAGAATTAGTTACTATACATGGGATTATGGGTGGTGGCACACCGAGTTTTGGGGTGTCACATCCGGTGCCATACGGGGGTGTCGTATGGGGTGTTCGGATACTAATAAAAAAACAAATTACAGAATCCGTCAGTAATCCGCGAAACGAATTTATTAAGCCTAATTAATCCGTCATTAGCATATATGTTACGGTAGCATCATATTGTCAAATCATGAACTAATTAGGCTTAAAAGATTCATCTCGCAAATTAGTCGTAAACTGTGTAATTAGTTATTTTTTAGTCTATATTTAATATTCTATATATATGTTAAACATTCGATGGGATGCGATAGAAAATAAACTTTAGGGGCGTAACTCAAAAGCCTGAAGCAGTCTGCGTATGCAGGCCCGGAGACTACGAGAATACGATACGATGGACCATGGGGAAGGCAGATTTGTCCTGAGCTGAGCTGCATGCGCGCCGCCCGCGCAAACGCGTCTCTGCCTGCCTGCAAATCTGCAACCGAGGCCGGTGCGGTGCTTCATTTTAATTTATCCGTACCCCTCGCCAAAATGATTGTGTAAGCACGTGCGCCTGGGATGGGTGAACGGATCACCGTCACCGCCGCCGCGCCTCCACAGGCACGTGCATCCATTCAGCTCCAGTCGTTGATCTTCAGAAAAAACAGAGAGAGGGACAGACAGACCTGCGTGCCGTTGCCATTTCCCCTTTGGAGAGTCCTCTGCACCATCTTCCCCACAAAAAATAATAGTCCTACATTTGAACCGAGTGAAATTTTCTCAAATTTGACTGAACTTATAGAAAATATATGAAATTCAATGATACTGAAAATATTAGTCATTTGTTTTTGTAAATTTGATTACATTTAAAATTGTTTGATTTTTTCGAAAATCCATAGTTACATTCTTTTTTACACAGAGCGAGCAGGCAAAGGATGCAAGTCTAACTGAAAAACAAACTTCAATGCGAGCAGCAGCAGGGCTAGCTAACTTACACTCACTCCACCCATGCACGAAGAGCAGCAACAGGGGATCCTGCGATTCCTGCCTAGTTAATCTTGTTTTTCCCTCCCATGAAGATTAGCATTTACCAGTGTTAATCTTAATCCTATTCCCAAAAAAAATGTAGAAGGAGAATAACACTAACAAAAAAAGACTCCTCTCCTTTTTGTTTCAAAGAATAGCAGTATAAACTCTAGGCAGAAAGTTGCAGGTCTTTTATTATTCTCGCCCCCAAAAAGGCAGAAGAACGGGAAATGCGTTCTTGCACGCCGTTTCGCCGTTCCCTCGTGTACTACGAACATTTGAATTCAAATTCAAATTCAAACTCCCGTGACCCTATCAGCCCAGCGTGTCTGCTCTCCCAATCTCCTGTGCTCGAGACTATAGAGCAGCAGCTGAACCCGTGCCGGGTGCAGGCGTGCAGCAAGCTCAGTAGTAGCTCCAGAGCGTCATGTCGCCGGCGCCGTCGTCGTCGCCGTCCATATTGGTATGCCACCCGCTGCCGCCGCTCTGCCAGTCGCTCCCGCACACCATCCCGTCGTCGTAGTAATACGAGTGGTCCAACTCCATGCCGGCACCGTACGCGTACTCGCCGCCGTACATTGCGGCCGCGGCGTCCGCCTGGTACGACGCCGCCGACGACGACGACGACGAGGGCGCGGGCGAGGCCTGGGTGATGGACGTTGACGCCGCGGGCACGGCGGCACCCTGCTGCGCGGACGACGAGGAGGTCGACGAGTCCTCGGCGAGCTGGATGGCGGCGCGTCGGATGTCGTCGGGGGTGGCGAGCGTGGCGGGGTCGACGCGGAGCAGGCGCGCGGAGTCGGCGAAGTTGAGGCAGGCGGCGCGCCCGCGGAGCGCGAGAGCGCGGCGACGTCGTGCGCGCGCGCGGCGGCCTCGGCGGTGGCGAAGGTGCCGAGCCAGATGCGGGACTTCTTGTTGGGCTCGCGGACCTCGCACACCCACCGCCCCGCCGGCCCGCGCCGCCGCACGCCGCGGTACACCGGGTGCCGCGTCTCCCGGAACTTGGTCCGCCCGCGAAAGTGCTTCGGCGGCGCCGACAGCACCGTCGCGTACTCGTCCCCGTCCCCGGACGACGGCGGATCCTGCTGGTCGTCGTACCCGTACCCGTAGTCGCCGGCGACGCCGTACTCCATGGATTGGGCGGCGGTGGTGGCGGCGGCGATCGTTCCAGTGGTGTCTAGAATGTTCCTTGGTTCGATCGAAATGGCTGGCGATGGATCGATTGCTGGAGTGGGAACGTGTGTGCGGTCTGGTTTATATAGGATTTGGTGGTGAAGGGGGAGAAGTTTGAAGCGGGGCGCGTGGCGGGAGACGGAGGTGAGCTGGAGACTCCCTGGGGAGAGTGCTGTGCTGCCTCTGCCTGCGGACGGTGGCGAGGCGGCGGGGAAGCCGTGTTGGCGTCAGCGTGGCGTCGCGTAGGGTGGGGTCCACGCCATTGCTTAGCGGACGGCGTTAAGGAACGATGCGGATTGGGGAGACTTGGGGCCCCGCCATGGCAGCGACAGAGGAAGAAGGTGGGGGTGGCACTGGCACTGGCACGTGGAGATGGCGACAGCGGCTGGCTTTTGGGCAGCTGGGCTACCTGTCAGGCTGTGCTGCTGCCGTCTTCGGTCTTCGGTCACTCACTCACTGACATCCAAGGCTTCACGAAGAATCAAGAGGACGCACAGGATCTAGCAGGGCATGGGTGCGATGCGACTCTTATAGGGAGAAAAAATAAAAAGGAGAAGGTGTCGTCAGGGCGTCCTCAGCGGTGCGCTCAAATGGCCGGCTGAGCTGGAGGCTAAAATCAATAAAGAAAGAAATAAATAAATAAAGCTTAGAGCACAGGTGATTAGACATTGGAGCTGTGAGAGGATTCTTCTTTGGACTCCGTGCGAGACTAGCGACTCTCTCGGCGCTAGCGCGTAATTCTCTGGCCTCTCAGACCAATAGGAGCTCACCTCAGCTGGCGATTTCATCGCCCCCAATAGACCCTTATGGTTCTTTTTGTTTTTTTTCCTCGAAAAATCTTCTCCTATGCTAGTATTACGTTTCATAGAGCACGTACTACCACTACCAATGTAACTCTGCTCGAAGGACTAATACAAGGCTGGTCTCCCTAAGGAGTTTTCGTAGCGTTGTTTTCAAAATTATCATGTCATAAAAAATAAATGAAACCTGGAAGAAACGCTCACGCATATTGAAAAGTTTCATTGTATGGCATCATAGCCATTTAATTTCGTGATTTATACAGAGTTGGTAATCGTACTAAGAGAGTTTCATCCTCATGAAACTCGTTTCTTCTCTTCTTAAAAATGTTGTCACATCATAAAAATACATACGTGGCAGCTTATTAAATACAAATAAAATTTTGATAAGATTCCTACTAAAACTAACCTAATAATCTATATAATAAGTCTGTGCCAACAGCTAATCAAAACCGAGTACTGTGCCATTTGAATCCTATGGCATTCTGACAATCCGGATAAAAAGAATCCCAACAGCTATATTAGGCTTTGAGATTCCAAAAATCTATGAGTTAAAAGCTCCTGAAAATCTAGACCGTTTAGATGAAATACTAGGATTTTGGGATTTTTCTATCCAGACTATCAAACTCCGCAGGATTCAAACAGGTCCTACATGCTCTCTCTCTCTCCCCCCGGTTTGCTCCATATCGTTATTATCTTATTAGAGCATCTGCAAAAGTACCACATATTCCTTCTTCATCCATGTTTTTTCTGAAGAAGAGAAAAACACATATCCAAGAGTACCCCATATCCCTTCCAGATCTATTAGCAATTGGTAAATAGGCCGGCATTGTGCGTAAAAATGTGTGTAGCCTTTGTCGCGCGCATCGCTCTTCTAAGCGTGTCTTGTAAAGGTGGAAGGGTGTGGGAAAGAATAGAGAGTAGGAAAGGGTTCCTGATGCAAATGTACGAGAGAGAAAGAATATATAAAAGTGGTCACGATAATTTAGAAATAGTATAGGATACCTGATATAAAATTGTCTTCTATATTTTAGGGGTGGGTTATTGAAAACTCTTGGAGATGGTTTTCTTTCTTTTCTCCCAATATTTTTAAGGAGTTACAAAACTACATTTTTAGGAGAAAAAAATACAATACACAGAGATGCTCTACTTTTAGTTACCAGTTCGATGAAAAAGTTTGTCTTTAGACTTCTATGAGCCTAATTTTTTACAATTTGACCCTTTTTTGAAGAAAAATTATGTTTGGTCTCCTGTGAGACTTAAACTCATCTTTGGACATGGGGTCGACGCCAGAACTCATGTCGTCGAGGTAACACGTCTCGGCACAACACATCTTGGCGCCGAAGTGCCTGGCCGAAATACTAGATGGCGTTGACGTGGCCAGTAACTCAATCGGCGCCGCAGATCTTGACGCCGACCTCTGGCGCGCCGAGCCAGGCCCTGCTTGTTTCTTGTGAGACGGCCACTGTGGCTCGTCGCCTCTTGCCTTGTATGTTGCCGCTGTGATCGGCTCTGAGAGAAAAGTGTAACACCCGGTGTTATGCCTCGCATTTAGTCACTTTACAAATCATACATATCATGCATCATCAAGCATCCTAATCATACATGCCTAATCATGTAAATAACAATTGAAACACTGCTTGAAACATTTGAAACATGTGTGAAACACGAATGTTGCATACACCTATTTAAGAGTTGTTACGTCTGATTTTGCTTGCTAGGTTAGTGAAACATGTTTGGCTACTATTGTAAATCATCTAGCAATGTTTAGTTCAATTTTTGGAGCAAAGTTTGTATTCAAATTAATTCAAAATTTGGCTTCAAAAATAAATTCCCAAAAATTAGGGTTTTGAGTTAAACGTGGACTTTGACCTTGCAATTCAAAATCTAGAAAGAATTTGGTACGTGGTCATAAAAGCAAAGTTGTAGAAAATTAAATTCTAAGCAACTTTCATTTTGGTACATTTTCAAAGATGTCATTTTCTTGCTCAAAATAATATTTGAACGATGGCATTTAAAAATTCCTTGAAAATACAAATGAAAAGGCTTTTTCCTCCTTCAGAGCCGCCGCCTCACTTCAGCCCACAGTAGAAGCCCGGCCCAATGAAGCCCAGCCAGCGCCTCACCTCGCCTCGGCCTGACCCAGCCCAGCCCTCCTTCTCCAGCGCCTTGCTTCGTCATGCGCCATACGCCCGACCAGCGTCGAGCTTGCCGCCCGTGATGGCGCCACCCGTCGGCGGCTCAGCACCAGCGATCCATCGCCCGGCCAGGCAGCTCTAGGCTGCCATGACTTGAATCCCACAGCGCCCACCGCATTCCAGCGCTCCTCACTTCTCCTCTCCTTGTTGCGCCTCTCGCCTCTCTCATGCGCCCGCCATAGCCCACCACGCTGGCCAAGCGCCATGCCGAGCTTCGCTTCGCCCGGCCGTCCTAGCTTCGCCATTGAACCCTCCATCTCGCCCGCATCTCGACTCATCGCCAGCACCTCGTGCTCGCCTCGATAAGCCGTGAAAGCTCCCTCTCCACAGGAATCTCTCGCGGAGTTGTGGCCGAGCTCACCGGGCGCTCCGCTCCGTGGACCTCGCCCTCCGTCCTTCTTCTAGCTACCTTCTGTCGCGCCGACGACCACCGCCGAGCTCGGTGAAGCTCCCTGCAATACCTTCGCACCTTCCCGGCCAAGATGGCCGGCCATCCGAGAGCTTGGCGCCGCCCGGCTCGCCATGCCATGTGCGCCATCGAGCCCTATCTCGAGCTCCTCCTGTGCCTTCTCTTGGTGCACCGTGTTTGCCTCGTCGCGGGTGAGCTACTGGTGGTGTCCACACCGCCGGCTAGCTCGCCGTCGGCGAGAGCTGGCCGGTCAGCGCCGCCCCTGTCTCGGTCTGACTGACAGGTGGGGGCCGTTGACCGTGGGGGCCCGCTCATCAGCGCCCTGGATCGGATCTGGGTGCACAGCACCGGGTGCACCCAGTATTTTTGTCGGCTGACTTTTAAAAGGATTTAAAAGATGCTTTTTCAGATTTTTGTTAAAAACTTTGGAAAATGTTTGTGTACTCATTTTGGCTCCAAATTTGTTGAAACAAATTTTGCTAGGTTCCTTATCACTAGATCTACTTGGGAAAATTATTGCATGTCATTTTTGAGATACTTTTCTGTAGAACTTTATTTAATCATGTATATTGCTGATAACTTGAAAAATGTGTAGAAAAATCTATAGGGTTCAAAAAAATATGATTCCAAGTTTGTTAATCTTCTTATGTAATGTACTTCCTAGGAAAAATATGTTTCATGCATGAGCTGTGGGAAAATTTTGAGGTGTAGTTCAAGTACCTTTAATGGCTGATTTTTGTTATTTTAGCTAGAGAGCAAACTTTGTATAAAACATGCATGTGATAAATTTTGTACAGTCATTGTATGCTATGAAGAACATAGGAAAAATACTAATTCTGTTGTTTGACACTTTTCACGGTACAAAGTATTTTCATGTTCATAATCATGCCATAGCTTGTCATTTTTGTATAGACTATTTTACTTATCCAAACGCCATGAAAATTTTATGGTAGTCTACTTAGAGTAGTACTATACTACTGTAATTTTCTTAGATTTTTATAAGCACCAGAAATATAGGTTGCTGTTGTAGCCCTAGTTTAAAATGAAATAAAATAATCCTCTTTAATGCAAGTTAGTTAATAATGTTAACTTTAGTGTATCTTTGAAGCATTTAATAAGATGTGTTGACTTAACATATTAGTAGTAGAAGAGAATGCAGTAGATGACATGTGCTTGTAGTATATTTTCTTGGATGATGTTGACTACCTTGCATTCAAACATATCCATTGTATTCATCTCATCCGATGCACCGATTGCATAAGCACTTACGCACATTGCATCATACAGGATCGCAAACCGAGAACCCAGTCGTCATACCCGAGGAGCCGAGGAGCGGTTCAAGAGCGGTAGTAGGAAGTGCCGAGCCGACGAGGAGGACGTTGAGGAACTTCCGGAGTGCCCTGATCACCGTCCGAGCTCCTTCGAGAGAGGCAAGCCCCGGAGCATTTTTCTCCCGGTTTGCAATGATTTAATTAAATGCTTTACTTTAATTGATGCATTACGTTCAGGAGTTGTTTGCAATCGTTGCTGCATTATACCTTGTTTACCTTTGTTAT